GGACGGAAGATGAAGAGGAAGAGTGGTCAGTTTGAGGGGTTTCTTGGTAGATGAAGAGGAAGAGAAATAAGGGAGTTACTCTTACTCGTCAAATTTAGTTTTTTTTTTTTTAATGAGAAAGTGATTCTATTGCTATTCATAAGTGTCCGTCCTTGTTTGAATTTACCAAATTACATAATTTTTCCTCTTATTGATGACGAAATGTTCCCTCACTAAATTTATTTATTTTCTTACCGATGAATGCATTTCGTCGTTAGTCATAAGTGTCATTCGCTATTTGAATTTGTTAAAATTGTGCCATTTTTCCTCTTATTAGCAATATAATGTTACGTCATTGAGTTTAGCTTTTTTAATTAACGGATGAATTTCATCGTTATATTGTGACATAATAATAGGCTTAGTAATAGAATATTTTGTCACTAATAAGAGAAAAAATGGTGCCAAAATTGGAGACATAAGTTACCATTTGTTGCTAAATACCATTACAAATTAGTTAGTAATCCGTCGTTAAATTAATTGCCAAAAATTTACACGTAATTCAATGACAATAGTATTCTATCATTGAATTTTCATTATAAATTCGTCGGTATTTCATCGCTGTCAATCCCAAATATATGGAAATTGATAACAATTGTAATGCATTTGTTAATTCATCGCCGTATACCGACAACTTTATTTTCATCGCTGATTTTCGTTGCTATTTAGTTATTTTTTGTAGTGTTATTTTTATTCTAATCCTTTTGTTAGTTAACCAATTATATGCTCATCCCAATACCCAACACAAGTATGCATCACTATTTAATGCTCTCATATGTATTATTCCTTGGTAGTTATGTAATTGGATATTAGATGAAGTTACACAATCTTTGTACTAATATGGAGTCCAAATGACTTGATTCATCCGACAAGGATAGTCAAATGGTGATTGAATTTTTGACAATTGAAAGTCTCATCTTTCACCTCTTTGGATGGAGGAAGGTTGATCAAATCTTAAAGTGTATTAGAGGCATACATAGACATTCATGATTAGGTTTAATTCTTTATATATCTAAAACAGGTGGGGAGTTCACTTGTTCATTTGAACGAGTGAATGAACTGTGAACTCCTCATTTTACCCCTCCCCTTTAACTATTCATTTGAACATTTTTTTTTTTACTTTTTTCCCTTTTTTTTTAATTTCCACTCTTACTCATTTTATTAGTTTTTTTTTAGATTATTAAATTATTTCATTTTTTTCTTTTTAATTTTCACCCTTATTTTTTTCCTTGGTTTTTTTTTAAAATTTTTGAATTATTTCATTATGATCCCTAAAAATTTAAAATAAAAATTTTAATCCCTAGTTGATGCACTATATGTCTTTTTTTCTTTGTTTTTTTCCTCATCAATTTATGTTTTTTTTTTATTTGATTGAGTGTTAAAATTTTTAAAAATCGATTGTTATTTTTTTTCAAATAGGCTGATAATTTACTTTACCCTCACACTATACTATTCAATCTTTATTTTTATTTTTTTTTAAATTCACTATTACCTTTTTCTTATTTTCTTGGTTTTTTTTTAAACTTTTACTCTTATTGTTTAAAATTTATTTCTTCAATTATTTTGAATGTTAAAATTTTTAAAAATCGATTGTTACTTTTTTCCAAACAAGTCGATGATTTACTTTACTCTCACACTATACTACTCAATCTTATTTTTTTTCCTTTTTTTTTTTAAAAAAAAGTCACTATTAATTTTTTCTTATTTTCTTATTTTTTTTAAAAAAAAAACTTTTACTCTTATTGTTTAAAATTTATTTCTTCAATTATTTGTTTCTAATTAAAATTCTAATCAAATTATTTTTTTGATATAATTTTATTTGTTAATAAAATTTTAAAACATCGGTGTTTTTTTAAATATATTATTATAATTTATGTAATAAATTATTTTCATATATTTTTAAATGAGTGTTTTATTTTTTAAAATATATTATTATAATTAGTATGAACAATGAACCATCACGCATGTACTGTTCATTTGAACAGCTTTTTTTTCCCTTGAGTTTTTTCCCCTTCTTTTTTAATTTTCACTCTTACTTATTTTCTTATTTTTTTATTTTTTAAAAATTTTAAAATTATTTTGTTTTTTTCTTTTTAATTTTCACTCTTAGTTTTTTCCTTAGTTTTTTTTTTAATTTTCAAATTATTTCATTCGATCCCTAAATTTTTTTTTAAAAAAATTAATCCCTAATCGATGCACTATACGTTTTTTTTCTTTGGTTTTTTTTTTCTCATTAATTTATGTTCTTTTTTTATTTGATTGAGTGTTAAAATTTTTAAAAATCGATCATTATTTTTTTTTTCAAACGAGACTTATGATTTACTTTATCCTCATATTATACTACTCAATCTTAGTTTTTTTTTTTTTTAATTTTCACTATTAACTTTTTTCTTAGTTTATATATATATATATATATATATATATATATATATCAAGCGATTTCACTCAATGTATAGATTCGATTTACATTAATCTTTGAAAATAAAACTTTTACTTGCGAGTATACCTTGCAAATCGTTAAAGTTATATATATAACGAGTGTCCGACCGCGACGTAACATGGATACCCATCTAATATCATCTAAAAAAATAGATTAGAAACTTTCATAAACTCATCAAGTGGTTTGATGTCATCGGTCATCATGTCAGCTTGGCATGACCCAACCATCTTCGGCACAAAGAGACATCCTGTATCATCGTAGTACTAATATTTTGATAATTAGAATATCATTATACGCATCAATCAAAATTAAATTATTTTTATTAAGAATTTTAAAAATACATTCTCACATATCAATCTAACACATTTAAAAGAATAAATTCTCCTAAATATTGCTTTCGAAATTCAAACTTGAAAAATCAAGAAAATCAACAAACTTTCTTATTCACTTTGGTGTGACCCTTGCTATTAGAAAATATAGCATGTACATATAGTGTTTTTTTCCCCCCAATATTGAAATATATAGCAATGGCTAGATATACATGTCCACGTCAAACCTGTTGGGTTCAGCTCCTGAACTCCTCAAATATCTCAATGTAGATACTGCTCTCATCTGGTTGCTTGGTATCCCCAGCAATAATTGATACCAACTTGGTAATTTACTAATGACAATTTAATATCCATCGTCTATATAATATATGTGCCAGTAACAACTTAATTATAGATGAATTTATAGATAAGGACAAAATACAATAAAGGCAAGGTAACTAGCCGTGTTCACAAATAAATAAATAAATAAAAACATAGGAGGGTATGGTATAGCATTTAGAGATAATAAATAACCCTTTTGAAATACTTAAAGAGTTTAGCTAAATCACTCCAAAATCATTCGTTCAAATATTACCCTTGGCATTTCTATTTTTCTGATAAATCAAAACTAAATGAGTAATATTTTAATTTTATGTCATAAAATTTAATTGATTTTTGTAATATTTCGGTTTTTCAGGGGAAAAAATCCATTTATTAACCCTATGTAGAGTTGTATGTGTGGTTTTTTTTTTTTTTTTTTGGCATGCATGCACTATTTTTTCTGAGAAAGGTAAAATATTCTAGAGGCTTTAAGCCTTAAAAGACTATGGGAAACTCTTCTCCTGCAGCAAAATAAAACCACATATTCTTATGGTTCATATATGATAATATATTTGTACCCCACTTTACATTGATTTTTTTTTGTTTTAGAACCATGCAAAAGATGCTTCTTCCATTATTTAGAGCAGAAGATTCTCAATGGATTGGAGAATATGTAGTGTGGCCTGTCATCCACTGAAAAAAAAAAAATCAATTTGCAAGGATAAGAACCGCCTTTTTTTTGCCTTTTTCTTTTGCATTTTATTTAGCAAAATTTGAGTAATTAAAAGTTCCATAAAATTGAAACCAGAATTAAAAGTATTTTATAAGACAAAGAAAAAAAGTTGATACTAAATAGTTTACTTCAGATTAAAGATCATAGGATCATACAAAACTATTTAAATAGTTTCAAAATTGCAAACTAATATATATATATATATATATATATATATATATATATATATATATATATATATATATATATATATATATGATAGGTTTAGATCGGACTGCAAATCTAAGCTGCTATGTTTAAAAGATTTCAATCTTTGTTTTATTTGGTGACTATAAAGTTATAAAACTTGATTTGTCATGTATACTTTGTTCCATAAAAATATAAGTTTTTATCGTGATGTTATAAAATTTATACCATCGTCATGGATTTGATGATTCGCTATTTCAAAAATAGTTAAGATTTAATGATCTTCATTTTATGAATAAAAAGTTTCATTTTTTATCATCTTTCAATCGATTATGTATAAAATTTCATTATTCGCTTACCAATTCTATAATGTTATCCTTTATTATTTATCATCTATGAAACATATGTTTTTATTTTTCACTTATTGTTTATAAGAAGTATTAATAAATTTGTAGCTCTATTTAATCAATAATTAGTTTTAAAATTACATTTCTAAGTACTCATATTTTCTTTTATTTAATTGCAAAACCTTAAATTTTACACACAAACAACACCAGCCTAAGTATTTTGAAAAAAAAAAAAAGTAGTGTAAATTCAGAAAATTAAAAGGCAAAATAAATAATAACAAAACCCTCAAGGATGTAATTGCAAATTAACCATAAAGTTATGGAGGGTTGTATAAAATATGTAATAGAATGACAACACAAAAATCTTGGACGAGCTTTAAGACCTGTTTTGCGAAACGCGCAAGAACACACCCCACAACCTCCCCCCACCCTCCAAAAAAAAAAAAAAAAAAACAGAAGAAGCAAACCCTCCTCCTCCTCCTCCTCCTCTTCTCTCTCTATGGATCTATGATAGAATTCCTCACATCGTCATCAGCATCAGATCTCACTCTCTCTCTGTCTTTCCCTAGAAAGGAACGAAAAAAACAAAAACACGAAACTGAAACAGAAAGAAAGAAAGGAAGAGAAAGATGTCAACCCCTGCAAGGAAGAGGTTGATGAGGGATTTCAAGAGGCTACAGCAGGATCCACCTGCTGGTATAAGTGGGGCCCCTCAAGACAACAACATCATGCTTTGGAACGCTGTTATTTTTGGGTACCCTTTTCTTTCTTTTCCTCTTTTGTTTTATTTTCTATCATTTTGTTTGATTTCTAATTAATTTGTGTGTGTGTTAATTTGTAGACCTGATGATACTCCTTGGGATGGAGGTGGGTAATTCTGATTCCTGCCTTTTCTTCAATATTTATAATCTTTTTTTATAACCCAGTTTTTGTTTGTGTTATTGAATGATGTATTATGGTCGATTATTTATTCGTTCATTTTTTTATTGGGTGACTTTAATTCCTGCAATTTCAATTTTAAGTATACTAAATAGGTACACACCCTTAGACTATGACTGCTACTCTCAATCTTCAAAAATTTTGACAAATTTTGATTCGGATTACCAGCTTTAGACTATGACTGCTACTCTTAATCTTCCAAAATTTTGATTTGTGTTACCAGAAAGTAATAACTTTTGGAAATTAAGTAAATATGTTTGGCATTGCATAGTTGGGAGATTGAAAATTAGAGGAAGGTAGTTGGGAGATTGAAAATTACACGAAGTCTGGAAGCTACTCATCCCTCTAGTTGTTTGATTAGCAAGTGGAGGAATGGACTGAGGGAGAAGGAGAAAGATTTGGATGAGTGGTGAAACCGAAAGCACCCTCTTGAATCACGAGTTTTAGATAAGTATGTATCAATATGTATTTTTATGGTGTGTGTATGATTAAGCAGATGGGAATAGGTTTGTGATCAAATGGTTTTTTATTTTATTTTCATTAAATTATGATGTGTTTATTGCAATTAATGACTTCTGGGATGTGAGTATTATTGGTTTTAGATGACACAGACAAGCACACGATCTTGGATACATGTGTGTGTGTGTGTGTTTGTGTGTGCAGGCATGCAGGTATGTGTGTAATATTTGCAATGAAGTGTTGGTTAAAAGTTGTTGTACCAAAAGCTTATTTAGGTGAATGTTGTTTTCATTATAGCATTTTTTATGTTGTCTAACTTCTTCTCCATATTCTTCAGGGACGTTTAAGTTGACTCTTCAATTCACAGAGGATTATCCAAATAAACCTCCAACAGTCCGCTTTGTCTCACGAATGTTTCATCCAAATAGTATGTTGATTTCTTACTTTTATATTTACTTGCCTTTAGTAAATTAGGAAACTGGTTTGTTGCATTGTTGCTTTTTGATATGTATTTTTTCTTTTGCATTTTTGCAATTAACCAGCATGCAATTTTTCTTTGTGAAAATTATGTTTCTTTTTTAGAGGATCGGCTTTTGTTTGTTTTGTCTGACTTTATTTCAATTGGTGTCACCAGTTTATGCAGATGGAAGTATATGCTTGGACATTTTACAAAATCAGTGGAGTCCCATATATGATGTTGCTGCTATACTTACTTCCATCCAGGTTTGACTTTCTACAGCTCGTTTCTTTTTTTATGTTGGTCATAAAGAATTGTTGTTTTGCGTGTTGTGTTTTAACCATCTCAATTCATGTGGTCAACTTTTTAGACTGAGAAACCATAAGCCTTGTTTGAGTTGCTATCCATTGAAAAATTTAGACAATTTCTAGATAGTAAGTCGTAGGGTTTTACAGTCCATAAGTCTTAATCAGAGCTACTTTAACCACCCAACAACACGAAAAAACCCCAAGGCTGGTCTGTTGATGTCATCTCTCCACAAACCTTCATAAATGTGACAATCAGCATATAATGGCCTTTACTTTGCTATCATAGATACCCATAATATTTTTCAAAGTCTTCTTCTTTCTTTTTCATTGATATGGGCTGAAAGTTTGTTATGAACCATGAGCAAGTCAAATTTCATGGGTGTCACTTAGTGTAGACATATACTTTCAGATCTGTTCACTTTGAATATGATTTAAGTGGCTAACGTTAATAGTGGCACCAGTAAATACTTGCATCACTTGGCTTCCAGGCTCATATGCAAGTTGATTGTATTATAAAACACCTACAATTGGCATGATTCTAACTTCGAAGTGACCATGGTCTGAGCTATCTCAGACTCAATACGGAATCCAAGTATACTGATGCCATAAACTGTTGACTTTAATAACAGTTTTTAAAAGTATTTCCAAACAAAAATTAAACAGCACAATATTAGTTATGTCAGTGGTGATGGATTTGAGCACAAGGATTTGGCTTAGGGCTTGGAAAATGAAGATTTTTGGGTTTGCCATATTAGAAGTCCTGTTGTTGTTCCGACATGTTTTGTAATAGTGTTGATCAAAAAATATTGAAGACTTCAAAAAGAAATAAGGTTCCCAAACCATCTACATTAGTTTTTAATGGCTGTCCTTTCACATCTCATTATTTGCTCACTGTTCTTTGGATTGTTGTTTACCATGCACTGGTTCATAAACTTAAGCATTTAGGTTTTCAGTTGATTAACTCAGATAATCCCAGTCCAAATCTTTTCCAGTTGCACTTGGGAAACCTGTCATTTTTTAGTGTTTCTTTTACCAAAGTTGTTAGCATCTCGAAATGATGGTCGTTGGATTATTTTATTTTCAAAAGAAGATTGGCTGGCTTGATTCATTGTAGCAACCTCGGTTGTCCCTTTATGACAGTTTTCAAGGAGGGATGGTCCCGTATTTTCAGTCTTAGGGCAGCAAACTTGTTTTGAATTGACATTAGCGAACACAATCAACAAAAACTGAGCATTTGTTCTAGTCCATAAATATCTTTATTTTTGACATAGACAATAAGCCTCTCAATTTTTAGTTTCTCTCCTTATTATGATTTACTGTATGGAATTGTTTGGTGCAATGAAAAAAAAAATTGCTGATTGCAATTTGGGAATCTACTTAGTCAGCACAAAAGATAAATAATTGTCTTCGTATGTAATTTTTATCAGTTTGATGTAACTGGTTACTTGTATGGGTTTTCCTAGACTTGTTGATATGCTTGCCGATGTGATTGTATGCAAATCATCATTGATATTATTGCCTCTTTCCAGAAATTGCATTTGAAAGTTTCTCTAGTGATGTAGCGAATTCTAACAAAGATACTTCTGTGTGTATTTGTCAGTCCCTGCTCTGTGATCCAAACCCAAATTCCCCGGCAAACTCAGAAGCCGCTCGCATGTTCAGTGAGAACAAGCGGGAATACAACCGCAGAGTTCGTGAAATAGTGGAGCAGAGTTGGACTGCTGACTGATGGTCCATATAATCTCTGATATGCTTGGAAACAATATGAGTGGTGTGGTGGACCTGAAGTGCACTTCTCTGAACTTTTAGGTAGTGCTGTACTCTGTAATATGCTTTGATGTGCATTTTTCTTAGAGGATTCTCTTTGGATGATTTATTTCTGTCTTTTAGACAGCTCGACTGGAACTTGTTGATTTTCTGGATGTTATCTCCTGATTCTTCTTTGCTTATCTATCATGTAAGGGTCCTTTACCTCTCTTTGTATCATGTGCATAGGAAGTGTTGCTTATAGTTGTGACAGATATTTGCTTTTGGAGTTGAACATTGCTCCTAGAGATGGTTTTAAGGAGTTTTCCATTGTAGTTTTTGAATACAAAATTCAAATGTTATGAATGGCTGTTAGGAACTTGATCTTTTGGGACTTTGCTTGCAAGTTTACCAGATGTATGCCTAAGCATATTTATTGAGTTCTATTTGATGCCCGAATGTTTGCAATGATATCTGTTTGATGTCCGTGCACTTCCCATGAGTAACAAATTCAAAATCGACCAAAATCTTTGCTTGTGTTCTTTACATTTCACAGTCAATGGCTGATGAGAATTTAATCCATGTTTTCAACTGAAAACCAGGTTAAATCATAAGCAAAGTTGGTTCCAGCTTGTATGTAAAGCTAAATCAAAGAATTTGTGTTGAGTCGCTTTCCAACTTAGGTACTTGGAAAATGTGTTGTCGAACTGTCAATTGGGCATATAAGAACGCAATGTGTGCGGATGTGGTCTCATTCACCTGCTGCCCATGGACTTGAGCAAAGGCAAATTTGTTCTCAGCCAATGCAGTAGCTACCTTAATGTGGCTAATGCGATTGTTCAGATTTCAAGGCCATCTTGTGCATAAGCATGTACTTTCCAAGTTTCAGCTGTTAGTTATCTATATATGCAAATTCGAAGCTTCAACTGAGATTAATGGAAAAAACTGGCTTTCTGTTGTCCTATTTGCTATCCAATCCCTGAACACTAGAAAGGGCTAGACACTAACACGATCTAAGAAGCAGAACACGATCATCATATGGGACAAATAAATAAATAAATGCTATGATCAGCAACTCATTTGTCATTCACAGTTATCATATACTGTCCCAGGGACAGGGCGCAGTCTTTCATTCTTGGAAAATTGGTTACATTAGGGGAAACTGTAATTTGTTTTAGAGAAATGAAGTTTAATCCCCAAGGAAGGGAAGCAGCAATCTAAAGTGACTGCCAAGAAAATTACTACCCTGACAATCACAACCGAAAAAAGAAAAAAAGAGGAAAGAGGAGAAAGATTTGAAAGTCGGGAGGGAAACCCTTCAGTGATGCTTGCTGAACCAGTCAGGATGCATGGATTGCCAAGTCTGAAAAGTTCTTGTGAAAATTGTCGTTTTCATGAATCTTGCTTCCTTCAACCTCCAGCAGGCAGGGACTACAGTTTCCTGCATTATGATGTTAGTTGTTATGATTCTGTGACAAGAAACAGGACGATTCAAATTGCTGCGAGACAAAAATAAATAGATAATTATGACTAATGAGGTTCTATTGTTTCAACTATGAAAAAAATTGGCGGAGAATAGAGGTAAGCTACTCGTTGAAGATCTATAATATATACAGACCAGTATTTTCAATTTTTCATTGCCACATTCCCGTATCATAGGCCATGCCCATACCATGAAGTAAAATAAGAAATAGGATTTCATTATGGGAGAAATTGCAAGAACCTGAATGTTACTGCTAATGAATGGTAATATGTAAAGGCGGTCGTTGGTCAGGTGTGACCGGAGACCCTTCACTGCTCTGGGAGTCCCCCCGCCCTGGATCCTGAACTTGAGCAGCAAACTGCAAGTTCCACAGAATATCCTCGATTGAAGGTCTATCTGCAGGATTCTTAAGCAGACACCTGGCACAGATCTCCATCAGCGTCTTTAGTGATTGTTCTGAACATACCCTTTGCACAGCTGGATCAACTAAGCTCCTTCGAGCAGCATCATCACTTGTAATACTTGCTTGCAACTGCATAATTTTTACGAAGAAATATTTAACTGTAAGACAATCCACCAATAGAAAAAGACAGATATAGATGCTTTGGATTTCACCATCAGGAATCTAGGAACTGGGAAGAGTACATTTAACATTTTTTTAATGATGAGAGAAAAATGTATTGAACATGGTTTTTCTGCAGGCTAAATTTTTAAAAACCAAATGAAAATATGTCACCTGATCTTTTAGAACATCTACTTCATTCCTAGATGTCAATGATCTCCCCACAAGGATTTCAAGCAATATTAATCCAAAGTCATAAACATCAACCTTCTCGTCTTGATTTATCCTGTTAAAAAACAACATACAAAGAGAAAGTTATCTTGAGACTGATGACTCAAAGTGTTCAGCTTACTGATATATTCAAGGTCAACAGACGTGCGAAATTTTACATCCACTAAATCCATGATAATGCCTCTGTGTTTTATCTCTATTGAATTATCAAAGTATGCGAGCAAATAATGTGCTCAAACTATTTTAATAATTTGCATCAACCTAACAATCAAAATATACTAGCAGTAAGAACTAACCTTGTACCAAGGCTATGATCTTTGGATGCACCAGATGATGTTCCATGGCCAACCTGCAACAATGAATTTGTTAGGTATCAGCTTCTAAGTGTTGTTTAATGGAAAATAATAAACAGCCTTCATGAAGGGAAAAAGAAAATACCATTCCCTTGTTTTCTGCTAGTAAGGGCAGGTTATAACTGCTAATTTTAGCAACAAGGTTCTGGTCCAATAAAACATCTGTTATTTTCAGATTATTTGAATATACACCAGGCACAATCCCTGTATGCAAAAATTGAATGCCCTTTGCTACACCTATTGCAGCAGCTATACGGTTTGTCCAATGAAGTTTTTGCCTGGCATGTCCTCCTGAAAAAAAAAAACAAAAAAGAGAAATATTTGTCATGAAACCCAACAGAGATAGAGACTAACTAAAATGCAGGATGGAGGACACAAAATAACACCCAGTTGGCACTGTGAAAGTTTTGAGTTGCTTGGACTAACATTCGAGGGATTGAACAAACGGTTAACTCATATCAAAAGCACACTATGCAGTCACAGCACTACCAGTATGTTCTCCATCCTGAGAAAGTAATTGAGAAAATTTATGGATTACCAGAGATCCAGCTTCTTAGTGTGCCATTTGGTACATATTCAAAAACTAGAAATATTCTGCTGACGCTTGAATCATCCAAGTAGCATTCAAAGCAGTGTCCAAGAGCACTGACCAAATGTCTATGTCTGAGTTTTGAAATCAGCTCTATATGCTGCATAAAGTTTTGGGTACTATGACTTCTTTTCATTTTTAAGCATCTGATGGCAACAAAGGAACCATCCTTAAGCTGGCCCCTGTACATCTGAAAGCACAAAACAAGTAGTATGGAATATCAGGAGATCGAATTCCTGGTTAACAGCACTGATACCTGGGAGGGGGTTTTCTGCCGTTCAAGTGACTGGAAGGTGCCTAGTATCAAACTAATCATAAGATCAAGAGAAACAACTTGTTATAGATTAAAAAAGACTCTTTCCGAACAAACAAGGGACTCATTTTCGACAAATATTTCTGAATTGAGATACTGAGTGGATCAAGGAAATTTCCATTGGCATGCACTTAAAAACACTTCGCTGACCTCGAACCCCGAAAGCATTTGAGTTAGTTTTGGAGGAAATTATGAGACTAGCACAGACTAATTCAATCTGAATGAAACGCAAAGTATGTGTTACAACTTACAACAGATTTACATTACCTGCCCTTGAGAACCTTCACCCATGAAAGCAGATGTGTCAAAATTGTTTGTGGCCTCCTCTACCTCTTCTAGCGAAAAGGTACGATATGCTGGAAGGCCAAGTGCTCCCAGCTTCATTGTTTGAGAAATATACCCTTCGTTTTTTTTTTCCGAAAAGCAAAAAGAAAAAGGAACAGTAAGATTCTCTGCTCTTCTTATTAGTTTTAAATTACAGTGTGAAGTTCTCTCTTAAGTGAATCAATTTTGACCAATAAACGAAATCTTCAAACAATGAAAGTGATGATCAACTAAATTTCAAGCATTCGACAAGGGGTTCACTTTATTATGCTTATTTGGGAATTGGGATAGAATAGGGTATCCTAAATAAACTAGTTGAGCAGTTCTCATTCCATTTCGGTTAGACTTGGCATTTCCCTATTACTCGCATGACATTTAGATTTTGCTACTATGCATGCACGACTGTCCAAAACCATGCAAATGTATGACCACATACAGTAGACACAGAGCATAAAGCACAGGAAGAAATGAAACCTTACTTGCATCTGAGAGCAACTTTGAAGGGTACCCTGTTGATGCGTTCTCTGCAATTAGTCTAGTTGTTGGTTTCTTGAATGCGTTCCTGGATTTAACCTTTCTCACCGCCAAGTAAATTAAACCAACAAGGGCAATCCCTCCAACAACCCCTCCAATTACACCGAATGCAATAATTGCTTTAGAAGCTTTCCTTGTCTTTCGCTCGGGCAAAATCCCAACAGCTAATGCCTCATTACGACAAATGGAAATAGGATGTTGGTTTTGATCACCAGTTGCCAGACAGTTTCCAGCATACAAGGCCTTTTTCCTGGAGTCTTGCAGAAGACAATTCGGCAAGTGTCCGGTCATAAGATTTGAGGACAAATCCACAAACTCAAGCTGAGCACTGCAAGACTGGTTTTCGAATAGCATTCCTGTAAACTTGTTGTCTGCGACGTTCAAGTAAGTTAGTGAAGGCAATGACAACAATGATTGTGGAAATGGTCCCACAAATTTATTATTTGAGAGGTCTAGCCGTTGAAGCTGATAATAGGAGGTCACTTCAGCAGGGAGGCCATCCCTAAACTTGTTCTTGCTCAACACAAGAGAAACCAACTTGTTTCCAAGCTGAGGAAACTGAGGTCCGAAAGCATTATCTTCCAAGTCGAGCACTTGAAGGTTTGCCAAACTGCTAAGATCAGGAACTTCTCCTTTGAAGTAGTTATGCGAAAGTGCTAGAACTCTAAGATCCTCCAAATCACTCAATGCATCTGGCAATGAACCATTGAGCATATTCTTCCTGAGACTCAAGACAGACAAAATGGGAAGTGAACCGATCCAGTTTGGTACTTCACCAGCAAACATGTTGTCTTCAAGTACCAGTGATTGGAGGCCAGTTAGCGACGAAAGCTCTGAAGGCACAGCATCATACAGGAAATTCGAACTCACGTTAAGTATTTCCAGTGAGGACAAACGTGCAAGTTTACCAGGCAGCGGACCCCACAAACCAAGAGAGACCAATGTCAAGACTTTCAAGTTCGGCAGACCAACAAGTGTTGTAACAAATGAATCAATTGAAAAGTTTCTAGGCAAAAGAGGAGTTCCCTTGTTGCCAATAATATGTAGCTGTGTTATGATTTGCTCATAGCATACAACAGTTACAGATGCATTGGGTTCGCTATTGCAGAAGTCAATGGAGCTATTCCAACTGCTTAGAGCAGATGGATAGTTCAAAAGCCTCTGAATTCTTAGAAGGGTTTCACCCTGGGAGGATTGTAATTGCTCTGAACCACTAAATAAAAGCACAATAACAACGCAAAGTAGAATTGCAGAATATCGGAATGCCTTCGCCATTTGTAGCAATTAAAGAATCAACACAAGGGGCAAAGCATAGAAGATATTGCAGAGCTCTCAAGGACTAAGAGATGAGCATTAGCTGCAAGATTGAAATAAACAACAGCAGCTTGGTATTAAGCTTATGCTATGTACTAAAAAAGCTTAGAGCTCCAACTATTGATGCAAGACCAAAATAGAAGAAATGCAAATCATGGAAATAGAAAAACTCCAATTAGCCTTTCACTGCAAGCAATTTATAGATAGAAACTCTTTCTTAAGAAAACAACAACAGCAGCAGCAACAAATGTTTGATAAGTTTGTTTTTTCTTACTGCGATGAAGCATTTAACAATGTATGTTCAAATTTCCATGGGAAAGCTTACCTCGCAGAGTGGATAGGCAAACCACTTTGATCACTTCTGAGCTCAAACTGGAAGTGAAGAAGCTTTTAAATTCATCTACAAACTGCTGCTTATTTCATCCCTCAAAAAATCATCAAGAATACAAGATAACAAGAATCAAATCCAAACCCACAAGTTTTGCTTAAGCCCTCTAGCAAAAAAGGTCAAGCAAAACTGACTAATGGATGATTATGACTTTAAAGTGAAGATATACCCTCAATAAACTCCAAAGGAATCTCCAAAATCAAGTACAAAATTTAATTTTCAAAAACGGCTCAAAGCCAGTTCAGACTATGAACATTTTACTTGAATTTCACACTTGAGACAACATTCGATAACCCAACTAACAACCTACTTCCCCATCCTCCAAAAAGAAGGAAATTTAAGAAGAAGACTCAAATGTTGCATCATAGTCTCTAAAGACCACCCACTTCAAATCCAAAAGCTCAACCACCAAACACTCATAGGCATGTCAATGAGGGTCCTCTAAATCCTACTGACACACTTTTTCTTTCTAGTTACATGCAAAGATAATTTACTGACACGGGTTCAGAGAAAACTTGTAAGAGCCATAACATCATACACAAGTGACCTGGAAATTAATACCACAACTTTGCCTCTCTTTTTGTTTCCCTCTATCTTTTACTCTCAAGATCAAATAAAGAACACTGACAGTGTTTCTTTAAGTGTATTATTTTGCACTTATTTATTTCATGTGCTTTCTTTTGGAAGTCTAAAGAGATGGATGGCCATGAAAAAGAAAAAGAGAAAGATTCTTGTTCCAGAAGCAGAAGAGAAACCTTTATTCTTTGCATGCAACAATTTTGCTGTGATTTAAATTTCTCTTTTTCTTTTTTCTTTTTTTCAACAATTTTCTGATATATTAATTTTTCTATGTATAAAAGTTAGATATAAATAAAAAAAAATAAGAAGAAGATACAGACTGCAATGTAAGCTTTCACTTTCTGGGTCAGGTAAGCTTTGGCTTTCTATGGTCATGTCACATTGTATTGTGGACCCATAACATGTCCATATGTATAGAGTCTGGTTCTTTTGGATCCTTTCTCTGCAACTAACAGTAATACCTCTTTCATTTCATTTGAATTCTATGATCTTTGCCAGTTCATATCACAGGACTACGAGCAAGCAATACTGTATATTATCACCTTTTTGCAGCTCACTCCAACCACATATTCTGTTTTTTTATTCCCCCCTTTTTTAGTGTTCTTTTAACATATCTAATTTCCTATAGCTGAAAACTTAGGCATCCATAATGTCCTTGAATTAATTCTAGCTACATCTTAACAACCTTGGTCTCATTATCTTGATTTTTACCATTGGATTTATTCTCTCAGACAATTGATCTTTAAGAAAATTGTAAGCAACTATATATTGCTTGTGGAGGTGGATCGTATGTTGCTAACTTACCTCTTTTTCATAAAGGAATGAACAAAGAAATACATCATATATCTAATTTGGTAAAGTCCACAGTAGAAGAATGTTTACTGTCAATAGTGTAAGCTTTTTTCTGAATATTTTTACTTTACTGAAGATGGTAAAAGGAATTAATTTTGAACTCTTGGTTAGTGGTTACTGCCTCAAGCCAGCATATATAATTAAGATCACACTATTAAATTATTAAAACATATTATTGAATTGACACTTGACATGCACTTGTCCTAAAGGTTAAGAAACCTTTTTTCAAAGGAAACAAACATCAAATTTCAGAACATGGAAAATTGTCTCCATTATGATCAGAAAGGTCATTGTGAGCTGTAATACAAGACTGATGAAACCTGATCAGCTATTCCCCACATGTTGGGAATTTAATCTTAAAAAGCTGGAATTGAAACCTAGAATAAAACAATCAATAAAGAATAATAACATTTTTGGACAATAATAAAATTGGATGTGGAATGGCATGTTACATGGGCACTAGTTGTATAGAGATATAAAAATAAATGAACTACCCTTTCCACATCCAGCTTAGCAATGATTTAATAATTGTTCCTTCCCCAATAATTGAAATTTCCTATAGTAAATATTCACTCAATAATTCTAGGGCCACAAAGGAGTAATTATAAGAGATTGAACAATAACTTTAAAATTTCATTAATGACGTGTTAAACCATAACATTTATTGACTAAAAAACTTTAAATTTTTTTTTTTTTTTGGATTTTTAAGGCATTCCAAATCAAAATATGCAGACGAACACAGTGGGCACAGCTACCCAATCAGTTTTCTGTGCACATAAAAATTCGAATCTAATACCGTTTGTTTAAATAACTAGAGTTTTTTCCATTCAAACCAACCCTCTTAGATGTAAAAAATAAAAAATAAATCAATATCTTTTAATCCTATCATGCCCTGCCTTTTATTAATATGCACTAAATAATTAATGTGATTCGTTGCCCATTGTTGTTAGTAATGATCTTTGACGCTGGTTGATGAGAGGAATAAATGATACGAAAACGACGAGTTTAGAGATGACATTGTGATCAAAGAAATAGTAAAAAGACTAACTGAAACTTAAATAAAATTGAAAGATGGGTAACCAAAATACTCTATCAATACTCTAGTACTGGAGTCCTACGCTGGTGCTTTTGATAATTGTTATAGAAATTACTACAGAGTTGCAACAACACGTCGGTGCAAAAGCAAGAAAGTGGGCATACACATAAGGAAAAGCATTTCCCATATGATATTGTAGCAGTTTGGAACTTTCGGGGTTTTAAGACCCACTTATCAGAAAGGGGAAAAGAAATTAAGTGAACAAGCCCAAGCATGAAATTGAGAGCCCTAAAGTATTATGGCAATGTAAGAAAAGGTGGGTGTTCCTGCTTAGCCCGCAAACCATGTCCTTTTCCATTTTCCACTTGCCTTCATAGGTGGAATTATTTCCCTAGAAAATTAAAGAGGTCCTACTCTTTGATTCATAATTGAAAAATCACTGCAAGAACTTAAAACAACTTGCAGATAGAATCAATGGGTAAAGATTTGGATGCAGCTTATATTATATTATATTCAAACGATACAACTTTTGGCTTTTGGCTTTTGGCTCTCTCGAGGATCGAAATGTCAAGTTTGGCCTTGGATTTGATATGAAGGTAAAGGGTACATCTTTGATTAGGAATTTCATCTAGACAAATTCTTATCCTTGTTGAAGGTTTTGTCCTCTCCTTTTAGGTCGGTTGGATCTTATGTTATTCTCTCATCCCATCAAGATGTAATTTTCTTTTCCTTAGGGGACCTTGATGGCTAATTTACAACTCAGAAATGTGAATTTTTTATTGAAATAAAAAAAAGTTACGGAAAACTCTCGTAGACACATCATCACCGCTAACAGGAAGCACAACAACGGCTGATATCAATATGGAAAAGATTGAAGGAACATTATACAAGAAGGATCAGGAAACGCCGACTGTAATAATAAATAACAAATGATAGGCATTAACTCCTCCAAAAAAGGTTAAATATTGGAACTTCTTGATATTCGTAATGAATCGAAAAAAATGAGGCTCGATCTTGGAACCTCAAAATCTCTTTGACGTTATAAAAGAAAAATAAAAAAACATTTTGTGGTGTCATTTTTTGAATAAACAATATCATTTTTAAGTGGGATGCTTATCAAAAGTGACGATTGGAAGTAGATTAAGAATGACAATAGAAGAGTAATCAGCCCATTAATTTAATTTTTTATTATACTTATAAAAAAGAATACTTTATATATTATTTATTAAGAAATTACTTTATAAATTTATTAGACCAGATAAAACTAGTACTTGCTTTATATTCGGTCTATTATCATATGAAGAGTAGACCAATATGGGGTAAAAATTTTAGATTTTGCTAATTAGTGGTATCGTTGGTAAATTTGTCATTTAATCGTTTCTGTTTAGATTTGGAGGACTACTGCACCACGAGTGCAACTATTCGAATTCTGAGATTATTGCAAGATTTTGCTTTTCTTTTTTTCTGAGAACAAGATTTTGCAAGCTTGGAAAAGAGCATGCATCACTCTCTATTTCAGTCAAAGGACAAAGCTTACAAGCAAGCGGAAGGTTCGCCTAATTTGTTTGCATATAATAGTAACATTTTCTTTTGATATAAATATCTGAATAATTTAATACATGACATGTCGGAGATATTTCAGGCTATAAGCACGTGAATTATTAATTTATCTTCGAGAATGAATTAGGACATTGCTACTCCACAACAAGATCTCCAACATAAATGGAGAGCAACTTCATTGTATTCTAGGAGAGGTGGTGGATTCAATGGGGTTGTGGCCATTTCCTCGTACCATGTCTGTGGGACAGGTTTAGATATTAATGCAGAAGCCAGAATATGCAAAGCTTGTCAGCAGCTTTCGTATTTCTATGAATTTATACAAGTCTGCTCTTCGGATTCATTACTAGCAACAGAAAAGAAAAACTCTCATATCATTTTCTGAAAAAGAAAAACTCCTCATGGCCACTTAAAGGGAAACCGGGATTCTCAGACCATAGAAGAACCCTATAAATAGGAGATGCAGAGACAATGAGGCTAAAGGTCAGACGTTAGACTTCTATCTTGCTTGGCAGGCAGAGTAGCTTGTGCCGCCCTTTATTTTATTGCCATCCACAATTGGTTGCACTGCAACATTAAGATATGGTAACGAAGCTAGGGTTGGATTCACTTCAAGATGTGGTTGATAGAGCACTTGTTCTGGGTGATCGGATAAAAGGAGAAGGTCCCTTTTTTTTTTCCAGCATATCAAACAAGGAACAAATGGGCATTTAACAAGTTGTCCATGGTTCTGGTGCACCAGAAATGGGCCACTAAACTGATGGACCACTCTTTCAATCCTTAAACTGTGATTCTGAATGGCACATGTTTATAAACAGTTAGCCCATTAGAAGAGAATTTCGGTTGATGTAGAAATAGAACTGGGCTTTGGGTTGCTAAGCACTTTGCTAGCTGTTAAAAGAGTTGAGATTTCCTTCTTTATCCGTTATCTTTTCATAAAAAAGGAAGCACATAGATTGGTTAGCTTTTGGTCAAATTGAGAAGGGCTTTTTGCATGATAGAAAATTCATAAACCATTGACAGGGCTAGCAACAGAAGCCCCTAGTTTCACAACAGACATAGAAGGGAGAGAAATGACGTGAGTTTTATCTGTAGACCACACTAAGAAAATAATAAAGAAAAAGTGTACACTATCAACAACATGCCTTTAAAGATTTAAAAAGTAGTGTCTTTTTGTGAAGGCACCTATCATACAGCTAGCAACTATTTTCATCAACCTGTGGACCTAAGTACTCAATTCCATCCATTTGGCAATTCTCTGGCAGCTCAGTCTCTTCCAACAATGCATAACAGTCACCATCTTCTTTTTTAAACTCCATCTCTCCATCTGCATTATTTAATTGGCAGTGTAAATACAGGGATGTCCATAAACTTCTCTTTGCAACTTGAAATAATAGGATGTTAAGAATCAAAAAGGACTAATAACAAACAAATGGGAACAGTAATTCTACACAAACAAACAAATCTCACAAAATCATCTACTGTTATCAATAACACCGATCCATATTGAATTTGCAAGTTTCATGCTGCGAAAGCGACACATAATCGGTTCACTTGCACATATCAGGCAAGATTCACATTAATATGGCAGAATCAGAGAGGCTTATATGACTGAAAAAAATATCGCAAGGGCATAGTATCCAGGCCAATGTCCAAGAAGCTCACTACACAACATCCACTACGTCCAAATAAACCCTCTTTTACCTCAATGAATTCCTAAAATGAGGAATTTAAATGAAATTTCAATGTTTCCTTGTGCAATGTAAACATGAATTAATTATTCCTTTGCAGTTAAATTCGAAATTTTGAAAATAAAACTATTCACTTTAATGGGTTTGTCCGTCAAGTGTCATTTGTAGTCGATCACAAAATCTCAGCATGAGAAGGAAAAAAGGTGCGAGATCACTTACTTGAAAAGGTACTGTATGGATAATCTTTGTAGTATGAACAATCCCGGCCATCTTCACTAGAATAGGGAGGTCCGAGCACATCAAGAACTGCACAAGGTGTAATAGCAGTGAATTGATGGATATTTCCTCCTGTTGTTGGATACAATACCGAAGTGTTGCAAGGAGCCGTAAACACACCGTCCGCTTCCAATTTCGCCAATCGCACTGGAAAAACATCGCACGTCGGTTATGGGGCTTGTTCTGCTAGTTCATTAAATTATTATAGTATAAAAGAGAGCAAGAGACGCTCACATTGGGTTGGTGAATCAGGCTCATCTGCACTAGGAGGATCAACCAAATCATATGATTTTATGTGCATCGTCCCCAAAAGAAGTTTGTTAAAAACTGTCATTCCAGGATGGTTATGGAGAGGGATGACAGCAGTTGCGGGAAGAAAGAAAATACACAACTGCAAAAAGAAACAAAAAACAAGAAAACTAATCAACAACTTGAACATAAATTTTATTTCCTGAAATATTTCAAGAAGTTCTATAAAAACAAGTCTGCAGGAGCAGGACATGCTGTGATCCTTACAATTTACAGGTTAGGCAGGCAGTATGCTCTTGAAGAAACTTACTAGATGAATTTGCTAATTTCAAAACTCAAACTAAAGAAAGTAAGAAATTTCAAATCTAGTTGAACAATCCATATGTTCATGCTATGTACAAAGTAAGTTATGGACCAGCTACTGAAAACTCTCTTGAAGAACTCAAATGATTGAATGTGTCAGTTTCAACATCAAGTGCAATATAAGTCACAGAATAGCACAATAGTTTTTCGAAGGTCTTAGACCCAGCTGAAAAAATCATATAATCGTGCAAATACCATAATAACGGATTGGCCTGCTATGTTATGTTCACTTCAAGGAATTAAAATGTTTCAATGTGCACGTTTCAATTTATACAAAGGACCTGAAAATGATAATGACAAACAAGAAACAGCTAGTCCTACCGAAAAATTATCGCCGTTGTAAATGGTTGTGTAAGTGACCCTTGGATTCTCTTTAACTGCAGCTTTAGGCTTGAAGAACTGCAGCTCGCTACTTAGCCCAACGTCTTCCGGCTTCATGTTATCTGCAGCATGAGAAAAGGCCCGTTAAGGAAAGGACATTCAGTACAATTAGGTCGTTACTTTAATAAGCTGTGAAAGTTTAATAGTTGCATAACAACATTAGGGTCATATTATATTCAACTAGGAATAAATGCTTATTATAGAAATGTCAACAACAGAACATATTCGCACTAGTACGTACAACAAAATAAATATCCATATTGCATTAGTATATAGCTTTGAAACATTTTTGTCACCTAGTTAGAATCAGCACAATTTTTACGACTGCTAGTGGATAGTACTACACTAAAAAATACACAAATCCCGATTAAGGAAAGAATGCATGTATCCTGTCGATTAAAACAATCCTTGAAAAGTAATAGGCTTTATAGTCAGGGGTGGATGGCCAAACAACGATAGAAGCTACGTAAAAATTGTTTTCAAGTGTTGTGGCAATTACACTCTGTATACATGTATTTTATGATAAATTCATAACAAAGTTTTCTACTCCAATAATTATTCGTATGTTTGCTTGGAGTCCCCAGTAAATACTACTTTCATTTCCCAAGCCAGGATTGTAGTTACTCTTTCTTTTTCTTTCAAATTTCATCTCAGTAAATTGATCATGTTTGAAGCTTCAGAGGAAGAATGCTGCTATTTGAACAGATATCGTTCCATATTTGGCACGAAAGTCTCACAAAGAAAGAGGTTCCTCACTGCTTTTTAACACCAATTACAGAGAAAAAACGGACTTTTTTAACCACCAAAAAAAGCACCATTCCTAAGAACATAGCCATAGGATGCTGAAACTACCACAAGTCATTCAACAACACTAGTGAACGTACTTCATCTCTTGCCTCATTAATTAATGGACGAACCATATAAGTCCACTTCATATGAATGTAAGGAGAAAGCACCTGCACTGAGGCACTGAATAATTTCTCCCAAAACTAGTAAAAAATTATTGGAAAAGCCGGCCCTGTATTAGCCTGCACTCACTAGGAATTCGAGAAGGCCCTTTGAGTGCGAGCTAACGACCAATTCATGCAATAAGAATTCCAAAACTAGACCACAGTTTTTGCCACAACGAAGAAAACAGGTACCAGATAGAACAGGATTTTCTTTTGTTTGACCTCTTGGCTTTTGCACTAAACAACAAAGGCCAATCTCCTCTTTGATCACATCTTGTATGTTAGTGAGACTTCATCCAGGTATCATAGAACAACACCTACGGCCTAGTGAATCTACACTCACTGTACATTTCTCTAAACCCATCAACCGTTGGCCCACAAAACACAAGATATTTAATTACTACATTTGCAGAAATCTACAAGGTAAAAGTTCTACTACTTTTGGGCAATTCTTAATTGGGAAATAAAAGGAACATAAAAGCATGACATTAATTCTTAAGCCAATCTACTAATGGAGAACAAAATTAAAGCAGTCAAACACAAATTAAATATACAATAGCTACAAAGATATGAATCCAATTTTCCATTCTAACATAGGACTACTTTCCGGTTCGAAATCATATTATATAGATAAAGGATCAATCAAATCTTAACAGTCCATAAAAAAAAAATTCAACTGAAACAAAAAGGGAACTAAGATAATGACCATCAAATTCAAGAACATACCAAGTATGTGGCACAATCTCTTCACATCTTGAGGAAAAGGAACAGTGCCCAGACCTTTAAACACTTCTTTACATGACGCATACAGATCCTGCAGTGCCATGGGAACTGTCGGTGCACATTTTTTAGTCCTTTTGCACCTCTTCTTCTTGATAGACCTATTGGCATATCCAACCTTGTGTACGTGTGCAACTGGTTCTCTCCTTGGCTCCACCATAGCTTCAATTGTCATTAAAAAAATACCACCAAAATATTTCGTATTTATATCGGGATTAAAATCAGTACTTTTTCTGCATATCACTATTAAGATGGCTGCCTTGTTTCGAAATCACTATATATATATATAAGATGGCTGGCTATTTTTTATTTAAAACAAAAAAAAAAAAAAAAAAAAAGAACTACGCAAGATTCAATGAACAGAAACCAAACCCAACAAGAAATACAGCAGGAATTCTGGTTTCATATCATGAGATAAATTAGCAAGACTGAAAATTGGTGATGGGTGATGGATGTAGCTAAAAAAAACAAAAGAAGAAGGAAGAGAGTGCAAAAAGAGGAAGATTTTATGAAGAGTATGGCAATGGAAACTGTGAGGAAAGAGAAGATGGTATATTTTTATATATATATACAAGAAATGGGAAAACCAGGGGCCATATGGAGCAGGAAAAATGTTTGCTTTGAAACTGTTAAGAGCTAGAAAACAACCTTAAAAAAGAAACTAGTTTCAAAAAGTAGTTTTTTTCAGTGTTTCTTTTTTTGGGTTGTGATCGTGACTGTAAATGCCAATTCCCGCCCCCAAGATTGAGTGTTGAGACCGCTGGGTTTGTACCACCCCTGGTTTTTCTCTGAGCTGGCGAAGTGAAACAACACTTCCTTCATATCGTATTGACCCAAACACCACTGCCTCTCTTCTTTTCTCTATGGGCTCCTATTTCCTGAGCTTAAAGTATCTCTCACATTTTCTGCTTGTTGTCAAACTCAGATTCATATTTGAGAACTGGTTTCTATTTTTAAGTTGTAGGTTTAATTATTTTTACAAATATACAAAAATATAGAATTTTTTTTTTTGTGGATGATAGTAATTACCTTTACTAATTGTTTTTTTTTTTTTGTGTGTGAATTATTATTTTTCAGGCAATTGTTGTTTCTTCATTGGGCTTCATTTTATTTTAACATCAAATTAACCATTCAAGTTTCGAACTTTGATTGCTGATCAAAACCTTCAGAAAAAAAAATCGTATTTTGGTATGTTGAGTTGAAATTTTTCACTTATATTAATAAAAATTTGAACTATTCTTAAAAAAATTCAAAATTATTTTAGGCTGTTAAGTAATTTTTTATTTTCTCAACATAAATTTTATAAAATTATAAAAAACAGAAAATAAGTAGGAATGCACTCGAAATTTTCGAGGGACCCTAAAAAAATCATATGAATTTGTTTTAGTGGTTTAATGTTTTTAAAATATGTGCGTGTGATTCTCAAAAAAACTAATTTATTTCAAATTTAGTTGGATAGAGCATTACGTATTCCACCATACAAACATTTGTGAGCCGCGTGAAAACCACCTGTATAAATAAATTTATATGATTTTTTGGACTTCCAATTTTTTAACAAAAGCATTCCAACTTATTTTATATTTTTTCACAATTTTATGAATGGTTTATATTCAGAAAATAAAAAATACTTCTTGTTGTTAGAACTTTTTAATTATTTTAAAGTAGATTAAAATTTTAGCTCAAATGCTGAAAAAAAAAACATATGAAAAAGAAGAATAAGATTTTTTAAGAGGATTTATCAACTGTCAAAATTTAAATTTAATTAGTAAAATAAAATAAAAGGAAGATATTTGCTTAAAAATTGATAATTCAAGAAGTTGAATGACCAATTTGGTACTACCATAAACCTCAATGTGCAATAACCTTTATATAGTTTAAAGACGAAAACTGTAGTGAGACAATTTAATTACCTCAGTTTTGATTTTGTCTTCGATCTCTTACCATTATATTTCTATATTTCTCTTAAATGAATTTTCAATTTAAAGCCAAAAACTGTAATTAAAAAAACAAACACAAATATCGATTCATGGATAGTTATACAATATATTTCTATATTTTTCTTAGTTGAATTTTCAATTTTAAACAATAGTGATGGACATTGCCTAGGAGGAACCTATATATCTATCTTTAAATTTTGTTAGGCTTTCCTACACGTTTAAAAATTGTGATCTTTTAGGATGATCTAGGCTTCCATATGCCTTTTTCAGATTGATAGGATTTTATATTCTCAATTTTCTTTTATATTTACTTATATTTTTAATTCTCCAATATTTATTTATTATATTCTCAGTTTTGAAATCTTATTATTCTCAAGTCATATTCTCAACTTAAATTCCCAAAGCGATAAAAAATGATTTGTTGATTCAAATCTTATTTGATAAAAATTGTCTGTTCATTTAATTAAATTTCCAAATTTTTTAGATGACAAAATGTTTGCTCTTTCAAATCTTTGTGACAACAAATAGAGTTTGCTCATTCAAATGTACGGATGACAATGGAACGGAAAGCAGAAGAAAGAAATTATCTAAGTTTAAATGGCCGCATCACAACGAAGATAGATTTTCATTGAAAAAAGAAAGAAAGAAAGAAAGAAACTCCATCAGTTACTAGTTTCGGTGCTTAAGTTCCATAGCTAATTTCCTGTAAGAAAAGCTAAAAAAATCATCCATCTTTTGAAAAATTATAACAGAATAAGAATTCATCCATAAAAAATGTACCTAATCAACAACGTCATCATACTCAATGGTGCGACAATAATCATCCATGTGTTTTGAACAAGAATCTAATCAAACAAAACGTGACAATACGATAATTTCATTAGTTTATACATATGATTAATTAGAATGATGTCTACTATGGTGGGTAGATGTTAGGTAACGAATCAAATAAAATAATAAAATAAAAACAATAACACAATATTGAAATTTACATAGTTTGATAATTATGTTCACTCTATAATTGTATTAAGATTTTTTATTAGGTTTTATCAAATAAAGACTTACAAATACAAGTGATGTTGTCTCTATTTATAACATAAACAATTAAAGTTATAATAATAATTAAAAAAAAAAGCTTAATAAATTTATACACTTGATTCAATATTTTGTAGATGTTTCGAAAGTCCAACTCCCAAGCTCCCGTAAGGAACGCTACCGTTTTGACTTTCACTCACTAATCGGCTAACAAGATCGTCGTCTACATAATATCCTATAAATCAGTTTCTACAATTTAATAATGGAGACCAAAATATACCATGCATTTTGCTAAAAGCATTTTCTAATGCCACAATAGAAATTGGCCTTGTTAAAATATCTCTAGCCATCGTCCTCAAAATTGAATAATTCAATCCATTAGCCTTCCACCAATCCAATATATCAAAATCTTCAGTCCTTGGTAACAAAGTTTCCTCCAAATAATGATCTGATTCAGATTTTAGAAACAAAGAGGACCTAGTCTTGTCGAAACTACCAAGAAATTCTTTCTTGCCCCCATTGTTCGAACTTGGAAGGTACAACTACAAGTTTATCACCTTTATGACATTGTCCAGCTTGATACGCTTCAAGCAAATCATAGCAAAATCGTTGGAAAATCCTTTTAACTTCATTCCTCCAACAATATTATAACAACTGTTTTAAACCGAGGATATAAAATATTTTCCAGTCTCATGTTTCCCTGAATTTCTAACCAATATTTGTCAAACTTCTCTACCATACGTTTTGGCATTGCTTCAATCCCTTCACTAGGTGGCATGAGAAAATTAGTCGAAGAGGACCTAATCTCCTAAATTTTAGGAAAATAAATAGTTGTTGTAGGATATTTGGCTCCAGGGAAATCTCAAACGGTACAGAGTAAAATAATTTTACCTTCTCCCACACTTTCTCACCTAACCTCTAATCCTTATCAGTTGGCACAGTTTTATAAAGTGCTCACTTTGTTTCAAACGGAAAAACACTTCTTTATAAATTAAGACAACGTCAAACATGGAATGGGTAGAATTGCATCTAATCTTATAATCTAGCCCCATATTTTAATACTTGTAATTTCGTAATTGTGGTGCATCTTCCTCAAACTTTTGCTCTATTTTAGAAGAAGTTGTCTAGAAAATAATAGATTCGAGCTCGATTAATACAAAAACTAGAATAAAAATATCTCACTATATAGAGAAAAAAGTTGTCCAAAACACAACATTCTCACGAATTCCTTTTATCATGAATTTTTTTTACCTGACATATGAAAAATAACGTATATGAGAAAATGAATCTTTCAACAAAAGAGAATTCTAGCAGAAAGCTTATCTAGTAAAGTAGTAATAATGGCATCATTAGTAGAACAATTATCAACAATTACCATAGGTAACTTTTTTTTAATCAATATTCCAATCCAACATGCAATCCAAAAGGTTTAGTCAGGTCATTGAAAGGTATACAATATTAAAATATGAGGATTTACCTTTGTCGTAAGTGCCTAATCGAAATTCTTTGAAAAAATATCTCAAATTGTGGTCGTAAATCTTTTGGGCTATTGACTATGCATATTACTATAAACTAGTTGAATATCATGGTGATACATGAGGCGATCTAATTTTAATTGTTTGATTGTTCGTAAATAAAGTTAATATGATAATAAAGTATACTTTTTGATAATTTTTTATATTTTTAATTAAATTAATTTTATTTTTTAATATATTTTAAGTTTCTAATATGTCCTTATGATAAGATTTTTAGACTAAACAATCGAAATTAGCCATATAATTTTTATATAAAAACTTTTCATTTGTCTAGCTTGTGAGGACAATATAAGAATAAAAATAATAATCATGGATAAATTACGTGATTAATTTCGATAATGTAATCTAAAAATCTTATCAAAATAATATATTAGAAATTTAATAGATCTATGATGATAAAATTGATTCAATTAAAAATAGAATAACAAAAAGAATAACGGTTTAGAGAATTACTTTATTACATAAACATAGATTGTGCCATCAATTTTTCGTTTCACTATATTAGTATAATATTTACTCTATTTTCATAAGATTAATATCGATATCCGTAAAAGATACTTACCCGAATCTTGATATATTTAAACCCACACTCTAAACTTTTTTTTATATAAAAGTATTGACATTTTAAATCCTTTTTTATTAGCTCAAATTCA